AGAGGGAGAAATGATGCTCGAAAATTCTACCAGAAATTTAAGCGTCTGACTTAGGGTTTTAAGTCTGAAGCTTCGGCCTGTAGAGGCGAACACGGTGATCTGAAAATATATACACAGGGCTGAAAAGGAAGGGCATTGAAGATATGGAAGTACCACTTTTTTAACTTGTTGTTTGGCGATGATGACGAATACAACGTATGTGGAGATGATCCTAGAGTTCAGAATCGAGGACTAACTTACCTAACCATGATGTAGTTCACGCCGCTATACACCAACTTAATTATAACAAAGCAGCAGACACAAATGGTCTCCCTGTGAAACCGTTAAAGGCCGGCGGAGAGAAACAGTATACTGTGTCCTGGTCGTTCTACTATTCACCAGATATTCCCACTGCGTCAAATCCTGGAAACCTGGGAATAAAAAATTGGCATCCGCCATCTCTTCATAAATTAAAAGGCACCGCGATAAGAGATTGTGTGTAGTCCGCATTGTCAAAGTTTTTGTGGCTATCGAGAAGGAATGTTCCGAAAGTAGCCTTTCGGTTAACGATGTCAAGATGGAAAATATTCTGGCTACCAGAAGGTAGGGCTGACAGTTCGCTCAAGACTTGTCAGGACAACAGCCGTTAGATAACTTTATTAATAGCATGAAGCTAATTTGTTATCCGACTTGTTTGGATGCAGGGTCACAGGGGAATCGCTGGAAACCGCAAAGCCGACGAGATTGCTAGAGAGCGTACATTTACCCAAATTTCATCTTATTGGCAACGAGTCGATACTCCGCTGTCCTCTTGTGCTTAGGCCTTGAATCAATTCTGACTGGACACTGTCCAATAGGCTCCCTGACTCCATGTGTTACATATCTTGTCGGACGTACATTGCCAAAGTTGTATGAAAGAGGGTGAAGTGGAATCATTTAGACACTTCCTACTTTTGCCAGACTGCAGTTGAAACATCTCGGTGGATTGTGGTAGGTTCAAAGCGCTTTGTCGATTTATAAAGCGTTCACATTTGGAGTGATAGTTAGACTTACGACATAACTAAACCTTACCAGAAAGAATGTAAAGGAGAATAAGCTAGTAGCTGTTAATTTCATTTTCGAAGCAGTCAAGAACAAGTTAAGATTATCACAAGCTCAATAGGCAGTTACTTTACAAGTCGCTTTTAGTACCGGAGCTTCTGTATGGCGTAGACACATGGGTGAAGACACAAGCATGACTCCAGCGAAAAAGGGTTTCGATGCGACAGTTGGCGGCAAAAGACGGAGAGGTCGACCGTGTTTCCGGTGGAGTAAACAAGTAGAAGAAGCTGTGACGAAACTTGGTGTACGAGGCTGGAGAAGGTCCATGCAGAAGCGCCTAGAAAGCATTAATACGTCATGTCGAAATCCAATTGGAAATAATTAAAGAAAGAAATATTATATATTTTTTTAAATTTTGTTTATTTTTAATTTAATTTATTTATATTGTTGTTTTCTTTAATTTTCCGTCATTCTATTTGTTCTTTTATTATGCTTTTTTAATATTTTATAGTTTAATTTTAAATTAGATTTTTTTTGTAATTTAATATTATGAATTTTTTTTCTATTTGTTTTCATTTGATTTTTTTATACTTCACTTTAATTTAGTTAGTCTAAGTTTATTACATTTAAATTAATTTACTTGTACACATATATAATATTTAATTTTTTACAACCAAATTATTTTATTCTAATTATTAGTTTATTTTTATTTGTAATAATTTTTATTCAAGTAATTTAATTTTTTATATAATTTTTGTTATTTATTCAGATCTAAACATAATTCAAAGCTACACTGGGGCCTAAAATTCGCCACCACTCTCAACTGTCACTTTTTACTAGCGTTGCATTAGCACACCGCTAAACTTCAGCTGACAGTTGCTAACAAAACATATCACTACTTATCTCTCTCTAACAAAAAGTACCAACAAAGCACGAAATAATTGGTAAACAAATATAGTGGGGCTAGCGAGCATGTGTGAGAGAGAGGAAGTGCGACCAATTGGCGTTTGGCGCTCAATAACAGCCGCCACAATGCAGTCACTTGACAGCGCCACATGCTGTAAAACATTTCGCTCACAAGTGTTGCGTGCTGAGCAGCGAATGCCATACAGTAAAGTGTTGTGAGAATTTGTTTGTTTCTCCATTCATTCGTTGTTTATCCAATATACACACAAACGCGTACATGCAGGCGTTTATGTTAACTAGATATACATATAACATTGGATAAACGTACTACATGGTGGAGCGCTCAGAGCAGCGTGACTTATATTAATATGTTGCGTCCGAATTTGCTTGGAATTCAGTTTTAAACGGATTTTCAACGATAGTGGTCATTCGGTTGCGAGTGTTTCCCGTTGCGTATTGGGTCATGCAACAACAAAACGTGTCGCTGTGTAGTAAAAGTTTAATGTTTTTCATATAGATATAGTTTATAACAAAAAGTAAAGAGAATTGAATGTAATTAAAAAAGTGTAGTGAATATTAAGTGTGTACACATTAATCACTTAGAAATTGATCGAAATTAAAAAGCTAAAACACGCAACAAAAAATCAAGTCACACAACGAGCGAGCGAGCGAGTGGGTGAAGACAAAACACGTACATATGTACATGTGTAAAAGCTACAATAACAAGACGGCATAGATTTATAGGCCGAAATCAGGTTGTTTATTATTTGTGTGCCTTTTGTGCAATTACTTCTTTTTTGTTGTTGCTATTGTTGCAAGGATCTAGTGTGATTGTATTGTTGCTGCAAAATTATGAAAGTGCACAGAAGGTCTATATAAATTGCATGTGCAAATCGCTTGCAATTCGTTGATGCTGTGTAATTTTGTGTCAAGGAAGTAGTGCCAGCGCCATTGTCGACGTAGCTGCAGCTAGATTCGCTGTTGCCTCACTGTCTTGTCGTTGGCCTGTCACAAGCGCTCGCTCCCCACTCGCACAAGCAAGCAAGCAAAATAATATTGTGTTTTTTGTGGTCATTTGTTGTTTCTGCAAAAACAACAGCAAGTAGGTGCGGCAGGGCAAAAATAGTATAATAAATTTAAATCAGCTGTTTGCGTGAGTGCCATCGCAGCTGTAGTGCAACAGCAGCGGCAGCAGAAAGTTGAAAGGAAAAGAAACAAAACACATTAAAGAATTGGCGAATGGCCGAGAAAAAGTTGTGTGCTTCCGTGCAAAATATTGATGTTTTCGCACATATTTTGCAGTTTGTGGACGAGACGATTGTTCCACTAGCGGTGTATGTGCTCTACAAACACAATTTAATGAATTCTTCTACGCTATTTTTATTAATTTTTTTTAACTCACACATTTTTTAATTCGAATATATTTTTATTTATTTTATTATTATAACACTTTTGTGAGACCAAATCAAATTTCGCATATGTGAAGGAAAAATGAAATTTCTCAAAAAAAAAAGTTTCCGTTAAAAAAAAAATAAAATGAAATATAATAAATAAATTTAAAAAAAAGTTGGCGGCTCATAAAAAGTTTCACTTAATGTGTATGCGATTTATGCATAAACAAATAATGTTAAAGTAATAGCGAGTGAGTTACGAAATTATAAAATCCACCGATTTTGATCTCTTTAAGATCATGTTAAAATTACTCAGTTACTGGCGCGTTATTCATACTGTTTAACTATTTTATAATGGTTTCTTATTTCTAATAAAAAAATTCTTCAATGAAATTATGGGTCCAAATGTGAGGATGCGTGATAGATATTATAAAAACGATTAAGAAATGACAAAATTTGGATATTTATAAATAATGATTGTTTGATCATTCAAATATATCTTAAAATTAAATTTAAATTTAAAGGAAAATAAGAAGAAGTCATAATTTCGGCTGAACTGGTTTATTTCTTATAGCATAAAAAATATTTTTATATTGATTTTGATCGTTCTGTTTGCATGGGGCTACATATATGCTATAGTAGTCCGATATCGGAGATGCCGACAAATGAGTAGCTTCTTTCGTATGCGAAATTTCAAATTGATATCTCGAAAACTGAGGGATTAGTTCGCGTATATACGCTACAACCGAAGTTAACTTTTTTTTCTCTTGTATTTTTTTTGATATTTTCTTCTCTTAACTAGTAAATCAAAGCTGAATAGACAACACAGACAATTCTTGATTTCGCTATGATATAAATCTAAGACAAAAGAATGCGCAAATTTATCGTATCACATGAATTCGGCATAACATATGCTTTTCAATTAGGAAACCAGTTTGCAATTTATTTATTTAGTGACACACAATCCGAAGTGGTTTGTACATATATTGGTGTTTGCAAAGGGTAATTAATTACACAAAAAAAAAAAAGTTGACTAAATTCATAGTCAATAAAAATAGATTAAAATAAATTTAAATTAATGTTAACAACAATGAAATGTTTAACTAAATAAAAAATATCGTGCAACAAAAGAAAGAGTAAAGAAGACTAAACTTGACAGCGCACAAGACTTTAGCATTCGGCTTTAAGGTCTGACAATTGTGCACCAGCGAGAGAAATTTTTAACAGTTAACATAACAGCCACGCTCGCGCTCTCTGCACAAAATTTGCACATTTTTTTGCAAGAAATTGTGAGTCCCAAAATCATATGCATGCGGCGTTTTGCAGCAATATAAACAAAATATATATTTTTACACATGTGTATACATACATGTGCAGTTGTGTTCGCTTTTGTGCATCTAAAAGGAGAATTTATTTACATACTTAAAATATATAAAGTGCGCCGAATATGCGATTTCTGCTTAATATTTTTGAACGCTGTAAAATTGTTTATGTCCAATTAGCTGCATTTAGTGGCTTTCTAATAAGAAATGCAAATACAAATTGCATTACACATGCCGTGTACTCGCCACTCAATCAGAGAATGCTAATGAATATTTAACAATAATTAATGAATAATTAACATTCTCTGGTTGTACTCTCTTGTAAGAATTTAAACATTCCGCTGTTAATGCTATTTTCTAGCGGAACTTGTTACTGTTAAGAGCATTACCATTCACTGTTAACACCATTAATATTCACTGTTCAAGCAACTTTTGTATGTAACTATTATAAATGCATTCGCAAGCGTCGCAAGAGAACAAGTTGCAGTAAATTCAGTGACAGTAAAATCAAGCAACAATAATAACAACAGATAATCAGTTAACTCACAGCGGCATTTGTTTATTTTCACGTTGTTCGTTTGGTCAAAGCAGCCTTCGCTTGAATTTCGGCTATTGTGCGGAGTTTGTTTTTTAGAAATCCAAGAACAACAAATCTGGCAAGTGGCAAAAATTCGTGAATTTTTTTTTTAAATATAAATAAATGTATTTGTATTGACGCAAGCAATAAATATTCGTGATGGTAATTTAACGCATTTGCTACTGTTTGACAATTAGGAAATATTTTTGCATAAAGCGTTGCAAATTGGTTTCATCAATTTGGTGTGTTTGGAGCATAAATTGTGCCGGGCTCAGAAAGTGTGTTTTGATACAAAATTAAAATGAAATTAAAAACAACTAAAAGTCCAATTGGAAATAACCCTAATAAATGTCGAAAATTGAAAATAATAAATATATTTTGAAATGATTGTAGTAATTGTAAGTTTCGTAATCTGGTACTATTTAAGATCTTTTACTACAGTCAAAACACAACAAAGTGATTGAATCGGCCAATATTTTGGCTTATTGAACCTATTTCTCCGATTTTATCCATTTTTGACATCACAACCTACTGTTACCAGGACAAGAAGCACTCTGAGTTTCTTTAAGATAATTCCCATATTGACCTTTTATTACGGATATGGAAGTTAGGGAACTTTTGATCCGATTATATCCAATTTTGAAATTTAAGGCACATTATTTACAAAAAAAAGATGCTCTCAAAATTTCAATACTACTAAAAAGTCAGACATATGTAGGTACTAGCTTCCACATTCGGTATTTGGGAGCTTGAAAAGTTATGGTCCCATTTAGAAAATTTTTGTCGGGAGATGGCATACCTTAATAATGTGTGGCTTAGTTATAGCATTATATAGGTTTTCGATTACTGATATTTTGTGGGCGGGACAATGGTATGATTCCGCCCATTTGCGTTTTCAACCCTCTTACGGAGCCAAGGAATACGTGCACCAATTTTCATCAAGTTATTTAAATTTTTATTTTGGTTATCGCTTCATTTTCAACTCGTCTCGTCATCCTGATCATGGTCTAATCCCCAAACTTTTGTTTCTTCGTTTTGCAAGTTGGTAACTTTTAGATTTATTTTTTTTTAGTTCTATTAAGTAGTAGAATGTACTCATCGGGTGGCAAATAAAATATCATAAATCTGGTATTATCTCTATGTTATTGCTACTATTTTTATGAGTGCCTGTCCAAATATCAAAAGAGATCGCCCTATCAGTGTTAAAATTAGCAATGTATCATGAAAAAAATACTTGACAAGACATCTTCACGAAATTTGGCATAGATTATGGTCCAAGACAGCGCTACAATTTTCAAACAAATTGTGCAAATCAAACCACAAATTGACCGATCAAAATCAAGTTTATCTTTGAAATACCCCTGATCTGTCTAGACTCTAGTAGAAAATTTATCGGCTTTTTGGCTTAAATGAGTTCTTCGAAAAGATATAAGCCGATGAAATCTGCTCTCGTACATACTTTGTTTCGAAGTGGTTGTGTTTTTGTAGTAGTTTTTTTGTTTGGTTTCACAAAGCATTGTACATAACAGTCTAAGTGTGATCACCCGCTATGTTAAGGGATCAACCATCTTACCTAACCTAACCTACTCAAATACTTCTTTTTTTCCGATTTTCTTCCGAGTTCTTTAATTATTTTAAGAGTCATATTCATTCCTAGTTAGTATGTAGTCCCAAACTGATAATATATTATGCTCAAAGGATTTTGAGGATTTTAGATATCACAACGGATAGACATTCCAAGCTGTTCAAGTGAGATTTTTGTTGTCGATTGTAACAGGGTCGGCTTTTCGACCTAACCTAACCTAGTGGTACCTAATAAAAGGTAGTAAAAAAATTTAAACCACAAAATTTCCAATTTTTTAACTATCTTTGCAACAACAGCAACGAAAACAACAAAACATTTAATTAAACAAGCTCATACAGAAATACTTACATAACACTTCGAATTTCATTACAGGCCTTTTACAAGTACAACAAATGTAAATAATAAATCGACAAAGAGAGAGAGAGGGAGAGGACAAAAATGAATGAATGTGCCCTGTAATATTTATAAGAAGCGAAAAAAGCAAGATTAAACAACAAACAAATAAGTGACCGCGAACCCAGCTTGTAAAAGTCTACGCAACACATATGTACATACATATGTATATTTTTACATAAAGTGCACATAAAAGTTGATACATACAAACATATTTACATGTAAAGTGTTTTTTTTTTGGTGTTGTCGTGCTTTATTTTGTGCGCTAAAGAAAATCAGTAGCTATGTGGTGTTGACACACATATTTACATACAACCACAAACATACTCATGTTTTACAAAGCAACACGTTGTCATTTCAGATTTACATATATGTAAATATAAAGTTAAAAAATATTTTGACTGAATCAATGACACGCGCAGCAGAGAGACCTACAAAAAAAATACTAAAATCAATTTTTTTTTATAATTGGCAACACTGTGTATTGTAAAAGTGATTAATTAATTCCATAATTGCAAGAAGTGTGCAAAAATATTAAATCGAAATTATTTTAAAAATTTATTAACAAGTGAAAGGCTAACAATTTTAATCCAGCGCCTTGTTTTGCTTGCCAACGATTTGGTTGGAATTTTTCTTACTGTTGGATAGGTTGGAGTTGCATTTTTATGTAAGTGAAATATTGATAATTTCTTATAAATATAAATATTATTATCATTTCTCATACATTAGAGACGACAAATAAAAACCGAAAAACTTTTTGAACTTTATGGTAATTTAAATTTATTTAAATTTGTATCGATATTTGTAGATATTTTTACCAAAAGGGCTTATCATCCAGATCGCTCGTAATTTATTCTTTCTTCATTTTTGTTATTTTATCTTCTTTTTCCAGTGGGTTCCAACGTACCATGACTTTTTCACTTTTTACCATTTTCAAAGATTTGCATTTCCAACCAAGCTTATCAGAAATTTTTTGTTGATCAAAGCTCAGATCTTTCGTATAAGCTCGAGCTTTCACTAAAGCTCAATATTTCCCTAAAACTCATTACTCACTTAATTCTCTCCTAAATTGAAAAATTTTTCATTAATGGAAAGCGCGCGCAAAGCGTGAGTGTCTCCTTAACGACAACTTTTTAAGTACATTAAACCGCTCTAAACTTATTTTCGTAAACGCTCAAGCTTTCACTAATGCTCTGTGAGCAATGAGATTTTTAAAAATGGTTATCCGTAGGTCGTGAACGTCTCCTTAACTCAGGCTCTTTTTAGTACACTGGTTCCTTATAACGTCAGAATTTTTAAATTGACTATTAGCATTTTTTTTTGTAAAAATTCGTGCTTTCATTTAAGCTTATTATTCAACTCATACTCTCTCAAATTTTTTTACATACGGAAAAGATTGTACAGTTCCCATAACAACTGAAACTCCGATACCAGAATTGACCTGGATTTTATCCCGCTAACCCTATTTGAATCGTTTTGCATTGCATCTTTTAGACCAGTCATTTCATGTACTGTCATTAAGATTTCAGTCGCTTCCATCATAAGCGACATCTATCGTCCCGTGGCCCAATTATTTAATAGAACTGCAAAGTACTCCCAGCTTGAAGATTCGTCATGAGAGTGCAAGACCTCTCGAACTAATTTTATACAAACAATGTCCTTAATATTTCTTGATTAGCGGAGCAAAACATAACTTCCTATAAAGCCTTTTTGTACCATCTCGGGTGTAAATTTTTATGTCTCTGGCGCATTTAATTACCAATTTTTTTTTTAAACAAATCCGTTATATGTGGAGTGTGCGGGGTTATAATTTGAATTTGGTTATTATAGCTTTAATGGCTTAAGAGATATTTACATTAAACTTTCAATCATAGATGCGTGCGCTAATACAATTTGTTAGCTTATTGTAGATCTTAGTTATTTCATTTTATAGGTTTTCGATTAATGGAATTTTATAGGCGTGGCAAATATCTGATTACGCACATTTGCAATACGAACCCTTCTTGGGTTCCAGGGGGTATGTGGACCAAGTTTCATCAAGACATCTCAATTTGTATTCAAGTTATCAAACAATGCTTTGTGGAAATTTTTACACCGCGGGCAATAGACGTTGGTGATGATATACGCTAAGAATTACTCACAAGAGTATTCTTTCATCAATTCGTTTAATATTTGATGTCTGAATGACTTTATAACTACTTTCTAGATATGTATTGTATTTCCAAAGCTTTATTGGTGCATTTTAGTTGCAAATATGAGTTTTTTTATAGATTTTGAACTTAGTCATGTGATCTCGAGGTCAAATTGCCCCAACAGTGTGCAGTTTTACCTTGAAATGTATATGTATTTGATTGTTTCGATGAAGAAACCACTTCTAGAATTTGTCTCAAGTACGTCGAACTTTAATTATTGGAAGCATAAAAGTCTTGACTGCTTGAGTTTTCAAACTAGAGCAGTAGTTATGGAAAGTTACAAGGAGCGGTAAACTTCGAAGCAACTGTAATCTGAGTTCGTTTAACATTATTGCAACAATTTTTATCATTCAGATCTCTAATCGTGAACTCCAGAATAGATAACGTCCAATTTACGAAAATTAGAGTGAAATGATTGGGTTAGGCCAAAAATTTCTGTACTAAAACTCTATACTATACTCTACACTCTACTTTATCCTCTCAAAACTGTAATATTATGTTGCCTTAAATTAAACTATAGAGAACTATGCTTGCAACTCGAGAAGGAGGACGAACGAAGATGATGTGTTAGCTACGTGCCTCTGAGCAAGTTAAGAAGCAAAGCATTGATGCTTACCTCGATTATTACTGGATATTGGAATTTCCTTGCATATGATTTAAGTACATGGTAGCCTTGATATTAGAAATGCTGGTTGGTACCACCTCTTAGCTTCATCATATTTTTTTTTTGAAATCAATGGTTTCTATATATATTTTTGGTAATTATTATATAAATATGAAGCTTGAGCGACCTTTACAAGTTTAATAACGATGAGAAAGCAGTTTATATATTATATTTATATGAAATACATATATATTATATCCTCTGTATTATATTATATACTATATGTCTTTGTATATCTATAATATAATATTATCAAAACTCATACTCTATTTATTCACTAAGCATAAGTGCTACTTTTATCACTTGAACGCGAAATGAGGTTTTCTAAGTCTGACTTTGGCTTTTCTCGGCACTTTTTGCTGATAACAAGAATACCATAAACATACTTGAGAACATCCGTTCTGGATGTGTACTATATGTAGTTATTTATGCGTGTATGTACAGATACGAGAGCAAGTTAATGCTTATATAAAGGGTGACGTTTTGGCAAGTAGAATTCGTTTTAAATATAACTAAAAAGTTGATAAATGAATGAAACAAATTTTAGTCGTACCAATTCATATAATAATAATTCCTTTGGACTTGGAGAGAATATGAAAGGGTATGTTATTGCGACTGTCGCTTATGAATTTCTCCTTATTGGTCTAATTATGGTTTCCTATTTGTCAGCCGTCGCGCAAAGACCCTGGAAAGAATGTACCTGAGACCTGTACCATGTATATAAAAATGTTTAGAGTGACGACTTGAGCCGATAAGGTATATTCGTATTTCCGTCTCTCTGTCCGTCTGTATGTATATACGCGAACTTTTATAACTTAAATGAACTAGACTTCCAGTTTGTAAGATATCGACCTGAAATTTTGCATGTCTTTTTTCCCCACGAAACTTCTTATTTGTCGGAACCGCCATTATCGGACCACCATAGCATATAGCTGCCTTACAAACTGATCGATCATAATCAAGTCCTTATGTGGAGCATTGTTTCATTTAAAAAGATATCTTCACAAAATTCAACATGGACGCTACGATCTCCACGGACCACTATGGCATATATCTGCCATACAAACTGATCGATCAAAATGAAATTCTTGTTAGGAACTTTTTTTATACGTGAAGGGTATAAAAGCTTCGGTGCAGCCACAGTTAACTTTTTTCTTGTTCTTTTTTTACTTTACTTTGACAGCTATTCTTAAAAAAAGTTCTACATGCCCAAAAAGACCCTATACACTCTTGAGTCGTCTTTTTTCGCTTAGAATTACTTTTATTTATGTATGCAGATGATTCTATTGTCACAATCTATCCTCTCAAAAATACTATACATCTTAGAAAGCTTACAATCACTTTTACTTGTACGTACAGTAGCATGTACCTATGAAAAAAATATATTATGTACAAAAATACATTTAGACCAGAAAGTTTCCGGAAATTGTTGGCCCACAATTCCGGCCGTTTACGGTGGATGTTTTCGCGCAAACGCCTCAAAACGGTGAAATAATACTCTTTATTGACCGTCTGTCCCGTTGGAACGAATTCATGATGAACCAAACCGCGAATATCAATAAACATAATATAATAAACGATTTTAAGACCAAAAACTCGTTCAATATATTCGATCAACCACCATATTCAAGTTACCACTCCGTGGAATCCGTTTCGCCTCGATTGAGGCCGTAAAAGAAAATTCGACCCGGACCCGGACAAGGCATGTTTCGATGATTGGAAAAAGAGGTGGCATATGTGTATCGCTTCAGAACGAGCATATTTGAAGGCGAAAAAATAAATATTGATGAAGATTAAAAATTTTTCGTTTTATTTACAATTTACGGAAACTTTCTGGTCTTAATGTATATACTTTATTAATTCGTTCGTTTGCTTTGCATTTTTCTCGAAATAAAACTGAACTATATTCTCTAAAAAATTGATAATTTTTCTTTTACAAAAATGTGTAAAAAAGTCAGCAATGAAATATTTCCATATAAATTTAAGTTCACAACATCACGTTTGCCTATGCTTGATATTAATTTCAATGGAAAGGTGAGTATGCATAGTGAATCAAATGTTGGTCCGGAAGTTCGTTTAGCACTAGATCACGTGCCTGCGTTGTTAAACGGCGCAATCAGTAGCTCAACTGACATACATACTGTTATAAATAAAAATACAATATTATCTATATGCATATATATTTTTACCATAATCAAGGGTGAATATTTTCTATTTGATGGGCGCAAAGAATTCTTAGATAAATTTCGCTCGTGTGCTACTGTAAATACCTAAAACGAAAAATGCGATACGTGTTATTTTATTTGTAAATTTAATTAAACGGAATGAGATGTTATGACAAACGCTGATTAAATTTGCAGATAAAATCACTAACATGTGAAGCAAGATTTTTTTAAATTTAATTACTACCCCTTTGTGCAAACAATAACCGTTACCTTGAAATACAGAAGATCTTATATAAAAATATATTCACGCTCAGATAAGCGCAGCAACTGGAAGTCATTGACTAGCATGTCGCAAATCACAGTAGATAAAAATGCGCCAAGATATTATCAGACAACACCCAAATGGTGCGCAATTAAGGAAATAATATTAAAAATTGTGCTTATCAACTTTGTATTGCAGCAATTTTAACCACCTTCCAAATTCCTGATAACATATTAAATAAATACGAAATTCTCTTTGGCTATTTTGTATAGCAGCAAATTAGTAACAAGAGCATTAACAATGTTTTGAGGAAACATCAGAGCGTTATAAAGAAAATACGTTAACTTCGCCTGCACCTAAGCTATAACATCCTTGCAATTCTTC